CACATGCCATAACACAATCCATTATTTCCTTTTCACTGAACTGTTCTTCTAGCATGATGTTATCCATCTCATTCACCATAGTACCAGATCTGGCACTAAATTGGGGTCTCCATCTTTCTGTTTCAGCGTATAAGTTCTGATAAAACTTAATGATTTCTTCTTTGATCACTATTGGTTCCCCTGTGCATTCTCTGTTGACAGACAACTTGTCAATGTTATTGTACCTCTTGTGACAGTTTGCAGTTCTGTGGAAGAACTTAGTGTTTCTGTCCCCCTCTTTTAGCCACAAAGCCCTGGACCTTTGTCTCCAAGCGATTTCTTCCCTCTTTGCATTTTCTTCAAATTCAACTGTGATAACTGCTCTCAAATAAATCTCATCATCTGTCAATTGCCTTTGGTCTTGAATCCCATCTAATTCAGCCAATTGATTTAGAATGCTTTGTTTTTGCAGTCCCAAATTTCCTTGTCTTGTTTTACTCCACTCTTTGAGTTTATCTTTCAAGTATCTTAGTTTACTTGCTAAGATAAAGTCTGGCCTTCCCCTAACATTGAATGAGTCCCACCAATTCTTCACCATCTCTTTGAAGTTTTCAGTTTGTAACCACCAGTTCTCAAACTTAAAATAAGAGTTTGATTTTTCCCAGTTCCCGCATTCTAAAATCAACGGACAATGATCAGAAATAACCCTATGCATAGTTAATTGTTTGATGTTTCTGAAGGAAGTCTCCCATTCCCATTCTTCTGATATCAAAAACCTATCAAGTCTTGCTGCAGAGTCATGTCTTTCCCCTCTCTTCCATGTGAAGTTGTCTCCTACTAGCTGAGGATCTGCTAGCTCCATATCTTCAATAAAATCTGAGAAGTCTAACATAGCCTTACTGAATCTGGTACAATTTTTTTTTTCTGAAGGATATCTGACTATGTTGAAATCACCCCCCACCACCCATGGACCTGAGAAAATCCCTCTCACCGATGCTAGTTCCCACCAGACCTCTTCTCTCTCTTCTCTGTCGTTTGGCGCATATACTCCAGACATGTGCCAGCTGAATCCATTGTTTTTCCCATGAATTTGCAAGTGAGGCAATAGGTCCCTACCTCGCATATTTCCCCCTCCCAATCTCTACCATCCCAGAGAATGAGGATGCCCCCTCTTGTACCACTAGCTTCTAATTGGGCATATTTCACCCATTTGTTAGCCCATAGTTCTCTTACAATATTCCTTATATCCCCCTGCAACTTAGTCTCTTGAAAGCAGTATACATCTGCCTTCCAAGTGTGCAACATACTCTTGATCAACTGCCTCTTTCTTGCGTCATTGAGCCCCCTCACATTCCATGAGACAATATTAATCTTCATGAGAACGATCAATATTGCACCCCCTGCTTCTTGATCCATAACTAAAGAACTTGGTACCAGATTCCAAAATTTTTAGTTCCTTAGCTCCTTTCAATTTAGGTGTCTCTGGAATTGAAGTTTTTGTAGCTTCAACAAGGTTGTTCCTCTTACCATCTATTTTCATAAACAACTCCTCTGCTAATTTCTCACACCCGTGAAAATTAACCCCAAAATCTTTTCCCAGTGCTAAAATATTCTGCCGAACCCAAAGTTGTACTGATGGGTGGTGGTTCAATTGTCTCTGGTAATTCTGTGGAATTAAGAGGGATGGCGTCCTCAATATTCAGAGCTCCCACTTCTCTATTTTCTAGCTCTACATGATCCTCTGTATCAAATCTACTTTCCTCCTGGATGATTGACATGGCATCGTCATCCGTTGATGTTGTATCCTGGTGTTCCTGATCTACATGAACCCGTTTTAGCCTAAACATTAATGGAGTTTATTTACTTTATTAAAAAAAGAAGAAATAAAAAGGCATTCAGGATATGTTGATATGATAAATATGAGTTCCATATTAAGTGTTTTGAGTTATTTGCTAAAATTGCCAATGGGCTGCGACATTAAAGTAGGAATATCTCTGCTAAAATCCCAAACAAAAATATAACTCTTTTTGGAATTGAGTACAATTAGGTTCAAATAGCATTTTCACTCTTAATTCCAATTTCCAGTAGACCATACTCGTTAAATTTCTTTCTGGTAAAAAAAGACCAACAATTCCCTAGGAGAAACTGTTTTTTTTTTTGTGGTTCCTATCTTTTTCATCATGATTCAAATCTTAGGAGACTGAAATCAGCTGTCCTCTGCAGCTACTTAATTTACTGCAGTGTCATGGTTATTATACCAGACACATGAATGAATGCATAATAACCCGATATCCCCCCCTCCCCTCCTCCACCAGACTCTCTCTCCCTCTCTCACACACACATATATATAGAGAGAGATATATTTTATTTTTTATAATCTACAAAAAACTAATTTGTTTTTTATATTTGATGGTGTTCCGTGTTGCAGATTTTAGCTCCTCGAATTGGGTACCTGCCTCTTTTAGCACAAAAAGTAAAGCCTTTCTTCAGTAATTCACTTCCTCCAGGTGTAGATACCATATGGTTTGAGTACAATGGCTTGCCTCTCAAATGGTATGCATACTCTCATGCCAATCGGTGTATCTTGGACATGAGTTTATTTTTCAGTGGTTGAATTGTTGAGTCGTTATAGTATATTCCACTGCTCGAAACAATTGTATACACTGATACATGAATGAGTTCACTCGATGTATTCAGGATCTCTTTATTCTAGATTAAACGTTTGCAATGATTGATTTTTTTCTTGTTTAAGAATCATTTTCTCCAGAAATATGCTACAGTTCTTTTTTCAGTTTATCTAGTTCTTGTCTTTACAACTTTTTTTTTTTGAGAAGGTAACATTTGTATGTATTGACTAAAACCAGTACATGGATTGTACTGAAACCATAATTACAACATATCAACAAAACACGATATCTGAATCTAAAATCTAACAAGAGCGAAGGATCTCAATAATTGATTTAGTATCCTCTAGGTACATCTGTTTGCACCAGAAATAAAAAAGTCTGATACAGTTCAATTTGATCTTCTCAAGATCACAACTTTTTCTCTCAAAACATCTAGCATTTCTCTCTCCAGATTGTCCACCAAATACAGACTGGGACAATCCTCCATCGGTCTCTGTATGAAGCTCCCACACCTACCTCTTTCCAACTGTAGAGAAGGTGGGTGATTCTGTTAGGCATAGTCCAAACAATACCCCCGAGGCTGATAAAAATCCTCCAAAGTTGGGTTGTTACTGACTTAGTTGCGCGGACTCTTCACTTTTGATGCCGCACCCGTCTCGGATTCTTCAAAAATACTCTACTTTTGGCGAATTCGACACGCACCCGTTGACATTTTTGAAGAGTCCGAGCAACATAGGTTACTGACCATCTCAACCTCTTCTCCACACAAATAGCATCTGGAGCACATAAAGAACTTCCTCTTCTTGAGACTTTCTTGTGTCAGGACTACTTCTCTTGCCAGTAATCAAGTAAAACATGCCACCTTAAAGGGGATTTTTGTATTCCAGATCTGTTTTCATGGCCATTGTGGTGGCTGTTGTCCACCTTGGTTCAAAAATTTGTATGCTGAGTTCACCTTAATCATGCCTTTGCTATCTTTGTTCCACCATAGTCTATCAACCTCATCCTTTGCCCCTTTGAACTCTTCCAAAGCTCTGAAAAATTCTGTTACGGTTACAATTTCCTAGTCATTAAAATTCCTTCTAGCTGGATGTTCTGTCCTTGTTGTGTCCAACTGTCAGCCAAACTCATTTGTTGATGTACTGCCATAACATACATCTCAGGTAAAAGGTTCTTTAAACTAGCATGTCCCAGCCATTTGTCCTCCCAAAAGGTCTTACTTCCATTGCCTACCCTCACAGTTGTGTTATTTTCAAAAAAGGCCAAAAAGTTCTGATAGACCTCCATAGACTTACACCATAGGGTGTAGATACCTCCTTTGTCATCCATATGTTCTCCTCTCCCTATTTAGCTTTAATTACTTTACCCCTGTATGCTTGAGGCTGTTGTGAGCTTAGTTGCGCGGACTCTTCACTTTTGATGCCGCACCCGTCTCGGATTCTTCAAAAATACTCTACTTTTGGCGAATCCGACACGCACCCGTTGACATTTTTGAAGAGTCCGAGCAACATAGGTTGTGAGTATCTCCATAACCACTTCAGTCTAAGTCCCTTGCTTTGCATTTTCAGATTTCTTACTCCTAAAACCCCCTTGCTTCTTTCCCCAAAGAACCTTGTTCAATTTGACCAAGTGCTGAACAGTAGTCATTTTCCTTAATCCCTTTCCAAAGATAATCTCTCCTAATCTTGTCTAATCTTTGTATCACTCCATCAGGAATGGGAAAGATAGACATCATGTAGGTTGGAACTTGGAAGAGCATCCAAAACAGAGTTGATGAGAGTGACTCTGCCACCTATGGAGATGTACTGAGATTTCCATCTAATTAACTTCTCACACTTTTCAATCAATGAGTTCCAAATGCTCATTGCCTTTGACTTGGCACCTACAGGCATACCCAAGTACATAGTAGGCAGGGAGTTGTCTTTACAGCTTTTGTCGTCACATATCACATCATCCAGTTATCTTTTTCTTTTTTTGTCCCAATGCATGCAAAGCAGTCTTGTTATACATTCTCTTTATATGTTGATGTCTGTTGATGGTAGCCAACTATGTCAATTAGAACACTAGCTGGCATCCGCAGCTCAAATGTATAGCAGTTGATCATCATGAATTGACTTATTCATTCTGGAACATCTTCTTTGAATAACATTTGAAGAACCTGAAGAGGATGATACCACGTTGGAAGTCTTTCTTAGCTTTTCTTGTTTTCCTCATTTAAGAGTGTTTGGCTGTCCCTATATTTGTTTTGTAATGCGATTAATATTTTCTTTTGATGGATATTTGTGTTCTTTCAGGTATATACCTACTGGGGTACTCTTTGATCTTCTTTGTGCAGAACCTGAACGGCCTTGGAATCTGACGGTATGTCAACATATTTTGCTTTAAGCTAATAAGCTATGTGGAATTTTTAGCTGAAAGTAACACCGTATTTGTTGGAGTTTTCTGAGGAAGGGTATTAGAAAGTGGCAACATAGCTTGATTCTATAGAATTTAGCAAGCACAAATAAGAAGTGGAAGTGCAGACATGAAATCCATCACATAATCTTTTTTCTCAAGCCCCCACTTGTCGACTAAATTGAGGGTGCAATTGATACCAATATCTGAAGTTTATTTAATGTCTTAATGACTAAGGGGGTGTTTGGATGGGCTTTTTTAAAGTGACTTATAAGCCAAAAGCTAAAAGTTATAAGTTGAGGACACCCAACTTTTGACATTTTTCGGTACTTTTTCAGCCTTTAAAGAAGTGCTTAAAAGCACTTTTTGAGTTACCCAAACACTTTCAAAACTAAAAAACAACTTAAAAGCCAAAAACCACTAAAAATAAGTCAATCCAAACACCCACTAAATCACTAATCTGCTTTCTTTTACTTCACCTTTCTGTTTTGAGAAAACGGGGGTTAAAGCTATTTGCTTCATCAACTGAAGAAAGCTAAATGTTGTCTCTTAACAGATAAAGATTGCAAACACTTGCCCTTCCTTATCCTCTCCCTTGGTTTTATGCCAAAAGCATTCTAATTGTAAAATAATTCTAGGAGAAGTGAATGGCTAGGATGGAAATATATTATATGGTCAATTGATCACTTAATGTACGATTTCTGCATGAAACATCTCTTGTGCAGATGATATTCTTAAAGATTTTGAATCCGTTTGGATTAATGGCCCGTTACATTTTTTTGGTAGAACATATAAGCTTATTATCTCAATACAACAATTATTTATGTGTTTGACACTTTACGATTTGATTCGTTTGAAGAATAGGAGGAAACAAAAGAGGCACTAAAACTGTAAAATGATGGTGCTTTTTAAGTTAAAATAAACTATATACCTCTTCATTTCAATTGACCTGTTTGTTTTTCATAAGGTAATTACAAACTTAATGTATGGTTGCACAAGTGTAATTACACAGTTAGATATTATTCAATTTTACCTATTACTAAGTGTTAGAATAGAATAGGTAAACACAATCCTACATAAAATAGGAATAGTTTATAGTCTCCTATTTGGTAAGGAATTGTATTATTTAGTGTCTATAAATAGGGTTCTCTATGTAATAATTAGAACAACAATTCAATAATATTTTTCCCATATATTTCTCACATGGTATCAGAGCATTGGTGAGAAACTTACCCAAAATAATAATAAAAAAAAGTCAGAATCCGGTGACTGTAACGGCTGGTTTGCATTGTTGTCTTGTTTTACAAGTGTTGTGTGAAAACCCACACCACCACGAGGTGCGGAACACTCAGCGAGCAAACCCCAGTGGGATCCTCTGACTTTCACCTTGTCACGCTCCCCCACGCGCTGCCGGCAGCTCTAGGTTCGCGTCACCACGCGCGTCACGTGCCGGCGAGTGCGACACTTTCCGGCCAGTTTTTTCGACCCATTTTTTTTCATTGAGGTCGCCTCTCCATTCTGAGGCAGACTGTATATTTATTTTCTTATTCCGACCAGTTTCGGGCAGTCAGACCTAATTTCCGGCGACTGCACCCTTTTTTTTCCAGATTCCGACCATCCTTGTCTGTTTTTTTTTCTCTCTCTAAATTCATAATATGTCTTTAGGGATTGATATTTTTGGCTCCAAGAATATAGGTAGTTCAAGTGCTATGATCACTTCAGAACCATTAATGGGAAGCTCAAACTATTTAGCCTGGGCTTCCTCGGTTGAGTTATGGTGCAAGGGGCAAGGCGTTCATGATCACTTAACCAACAATACTTGTGTGGTAGATGAAAAGGCAAAGGCTAGTGAGACAGATAATAAAGTCAAAGCACAATGGGAGAAGGTTGATGCTCAATTATGTAGTCTCCTATGGCGATCTATCGATTCCAAGTTGATGCCCTTGTTTCGCTCATCCCAAACATGTTATTCAGTTTGGGAAAAGGCTCGTGCTTTATATACTAATGATATATCTCGATTCTATGATGTGATATCTAGAATGACTAGCTTAAAGAAACAAGAATCCGATATGTCTACTTACTTGGGACAGGTACAAGCAGTCATGGAGGAATTTGACACGTTGATGCCAATCACTACAAATGTGGACAAACAACAAGAACACAGACAGACGTTGTTTCTAGTTCTTACACTTGCTGGACTTTCTACTGACCATGATTCAGTGCGTGATCAGATTTTAGCTAGTCCTACAATTCCTACAGTTGATGAATTATTCTCTCGTCTACTTCGTCTTGCCGTGCCTCCCAGCTACAAAGTAGTTTCATCACCGACCATTGACTCATTTGCTCTCGCATCTCAAACCATAGAAAAACGAGCATATCAATCTATGGAGAATCGACGAGGAGGAGGTCGTCTTGGAAAACCTCGATCCAAGTGTAGTTATTGTCATAAGTCTGGACACACTCGTGACATATGTCATAATTTGCATGGTCCACCACCCAGTTATGATCCTGCTGCTCTAAAGGAATATAATGAGTTCCTTCGTAATCGTGCAAGTAAGCATACATCTTCACAAGAAGCATTTGTTGCTCCGCCTGATCGACCATCCCATAATGCTCATATTGCTCAATCAGAATATGATGAGTTCCTTCAATATCGAGCAAGTAAGCAAACGTCTCCACAAGTAGCTTCGGTTGTTCAACATGATGTTGTTGCGGGTAATTCTTTTGCTTGTGTTTCACAGTCTAATACTCATGGATCATGGGTCATGGATTCGGGCGCTTCTGATCATGTTTCTGGTAACAAATCACTTCTGTCAGATATTGTTTATTCATAGTCTCTTCCTGCTATTACTTTGGCCAATGGGATACAAACAAAACCGAAAGGGGTTGGAAAAGCCACACCCCTATCTTCTGTCACTCTAGACTCTGTTCTTTATGTCCCTGGTTCTATTTGGCATATGGCATCTGTTAGTCGTTTGACACGTGCCCTACATTGTGGCATAACCTTTTTTGATGATTTTTTTCTCATGCAGGACCGCAGTACGGGACAGACGATTGGCACAGGACATGAATCACAAGGCCTTTACTATCTTACCTCTTCAAATTCCTTAACAGCATGCTCCGTTACAGATTCCCCAGATCTAATTCACAAACGTTTGGGACATC